AAACGTACCACGAGAACAATTAATTCCTACGATTTTTGTTTCTTTCTTCTTTTTCTATTTTTTTTCTTTTTTCCTTTTTTTTTTCGGTGGATCGACTGGTCGCGCCATCTGCGTAGGATTTTGTTATTACAAACTGTACAAAGTATATCTTCTTCGCGTGTATCATATCGCTAAGATGGAAACGATTAGTTCAATGAATCCTCTTCGTCGCTTAATCTTCAACGATCTTCCATATATTTATATTTATATTTATATATTTATATTTATTTATACTGTGTTCTCTCTCTCTCTCTCTCTTTCTCTCTCTCATTCTCTCATACTCTCATCCTTTCATCCTCGTGACAAATGTGTTCTTCCTACAAACAGAGATGATCGATCGGATGACAGGTGTAAGATATGTACGAGTTCAAGAATTTATTTATATACGCTTATATAATACAATTTTCACGTAAGCGTGAAGCGTTACTTCCGCTCGATTCGTGACTCAAGTTCCCGATATGCTGCTACTTTACTCTATTCCCAGGGCAGAACAAACGTTATTCCGTGGAAATTCGTACGATATGTCAATGATACGTGATATTCAATCCTTAATTAATAATATTCGCCCGAACGGATAATCGATAATTTCAATTTCGATAATTAATCGCGCGAAAGGAGCCCGCTTTTTCTCCGCTCTATTGATCGAACGTGAATCGAATGGGAAGCGTCATAAATTCAAATAAATTTGAATAAACGAGGAATTAAGCGATGAAAGAAGATCGAGCTGAAATGAAAGAGATAATGGTCGTGTTGGTAATTGAAAAGGAAGAAGAACAAAAAAAGAATAAAAAAGATATAAAAAAATTCTAAAATTCATTCGATCTCTCTCTCTCTCTCTCTGATTCGATCATTTTTTTCTCTTCGTTCTTCTCTCCCGCTATTACGACCGATCGAGAAATCCTTTTAATTTTCTTTCTCTCAATTTGTAGGAAGAACCGTATGTATGCACGTGTCGCCTGGTTCGATCGCACAGAAGACGATCTCCACCAAGTCGAAATTAAAATTTCTCACCGTTAATAATTCGTTAAGCTCATCAAAGTGGATATGTACATCGATCCTTCTTCCTTTCTTTCTTCTTTTTTTTTTTCCTCTCTCACACGACTGTTCTCGTGTTCTGTACGATCGATCGTGATCCTCTCTGTTCTCGCATCCCTTCGCCCACTTATTGTTCCACCATTATTGTTCGCATTCGCCAGTGAACAACACGATCACACGCATCTTCGAAAAGAAATTCGAACGTTTCTTCGTCGAGAAACAAGGATCGAAACAATGATGTCGAAAATGGATCTCCCTAATACAATGGCAGTATCTCTTTAATGTCGTCGGTCTTACGAGTTTAGATTAATATTATAAATTACCAACGATCGTTTCATAGACAATATCATAGACTTTTCAAAATGAAACCTGCCCCGACCTTTGTGGATGGCTCGACGAAAGGGGTCGTTTCTCCATGTTTCTCCTAATTTTTTCTCCTTCTTCTTCTTTTCTCGAATAAATGTCGAAGAACGCTCGTAAACATTGACAATTATCGTTATTATTATGGGCGCTAAGTGTTCCCTTTCGTTAGACGAAAGGATAACAAATAATCGATGGAGGAACGATGATCCCTTTCACCGAACCACTTTCAGTCGTTTCGTGCACATTTATCACTTACATTTCCTATGGCGATTTATATATATATATATTATTTTTTTTTTACAGATCACGAGAGTGACTGTGCGTTTTTAGCCGAGTAATAAATTCCAAAACAACGCGATCGCCCTTATAGCGAGCTAGCGCCCTTCGTCGCACCACCATTTACACCCGTTTCATCGCCAATTTCCTTATTATATTATCCTTTTGTTACAGCCGCTTACAAACTGGTATTAACAATTATTATAAATTTCTCATTGTTCCACGTTGAACACGGTTCGTGTAACCGGATGAATATTTTTCCCAGCGCGCGCATTTCAATCTCATCCCTCTCCGCTCCGAGAAGATAATTCCGAACGCGTAATTTTCAATGTTTAATGAAAAAAAAATATATATATGGAAAAAAGAACCGATAAATAAAAATTCGCCCATAAAAGTCCATAAAACTAAATATTAATTGAGAGCGATACAACGTGTTTCAAGTAGAGAACCTATAAAATTAATTTTTCCAAAAAAAAAAAAAAAGAAAAAAGAAAAAAAACGAAAACAAAAATAAATGAAATAAACGTTTCAACGACGATGAGCGAATAGAATGAAACGAAATAAAAATGGAGCGAAATAAAATTCGAGGGGAAAAAGAAACGAGAAGTGGGCAGGCGAAATCGATGCCCGATTATTCGCAAGAATTATTCTCGACTCTCGATCACCGGGCAAAAATTCGCCCGTAAAAAGGCGAGCAAAGGTATATCCACCGGGTAAATGGACCGTGTCTCTATTCCTTCCTATAAACGTAACTTCAGGTCACGCGAGTGGGCCTCCCTCTCTCTCTCTCTCTCTCTGCAAGCCAACCACCTCTATCCATCTTTGTTCCGCGGAACGACGACGACGCGAATTCGACTCACGAGGTCGGGTTTCGATCCTCGAGACGTCGAGGCAAGCGTCGCGAATCGATAGGTCGAACCGTGGCGGGAAAAAACGGACGCCACGCGACCGCCGAGGGGAGTAGAAGCTGCTCGAAAAAACGACGCTCTCTAATAAATTTTTTTTATCGCTATCGATTAAACCCTTTTTTTTTTTTAACATCTCTTTACATCTGCTATATTTATTTGTTTATTTATTTATTTATATATGTATACGAAATTTTTTTTTTTCTGTTTCTTTATTTACTTGCAACCTATAGTGGTATTGTCAAACATTTATGCACTTCGGCTAAGCGCATTTTAAGCTTATTAGTAATAGTCTCAGGGAACTTAAAGGTAAGCCAGCAGGCTCTCGAGGTTAATTTTTTTTTCTTTTTCTTTTTTTTTTTTCTTTTCTTTTCAAAATTTTCAATTTTTACACTCCGACCACTCTGTGACCGCTTCGTTTTTTTCTTTCTTTTATATGGCTAGTAAGTTATGGACCCCTCTGATGATTCGATAGATAATAAGATTAGTGAATTGACAAGTTAAGAGTTGTAAAGAGTTGCGGTCGAAATTTAATTGTAAATCTTCGTTTATTAGTTTTATTGCCGAACTATTATCCGTTACGCTAGTAACTAAGTTAAATTCGTTAAATTTCACTAATGTTACTAGCTCAATTGAACCAGAGGGCGCCAAATTCCACCAGTATTTCCGTATCAATTAAATTCTTCCTTCCTTCCTCCCTCAGAATAAAAAGAAAAAGAACATTCTCGCACATTCGTCATACCTTCGCTTCCATTCAGAGTCAATTTACATTCAATCAACCAAGAAAACCGTATTTTCCACCCACCCTCTCTCCCCGTTTCACATCTCTCAGGACTGGTTCTCGACTTCAAATTGCGTAGCCGGACGTCATTGTGTGATAAAAAGCGATTCTCACTCATTATCCCTCGTGTCGTTACTTATCGGATACAGAACGAGAGGAATTGTCGAAAAGAGAAGGCAGCCTACGACTTTTCTTCCTCTTCTTCTTTCCTCTTCTTTCCCATTCCTCCCCGTAAAAACTTTGTGGACGCGCAATGGTTCACGAAGAGGGTTTTTCACGCGGTGGAAATCGTATTTCTCGGATCACACACGTACAACACACAACGTTGGACACACGTTGAGGGAAGGAGAGAAGAGATTTGCAGGAAATGATCGGTGGAAACCGTTTGTTGTATCCTCCGCGATTTTCCAAAGTCCACGGGCCACGTGTATTCTGAACGTGACGCGAGTGCCGTTGCGGCGGGTGTCATAAGCTTGTTTGCTGACAGTATCAATTTCAGAAATGGCGTGTGTGCGCGATTTATTGAACGTGCTTTCCGCCCATTGGACCCGCGCTAGGAACGCTCCCATTTCGTATATGTATCCGCTTGCTGGAGATCGTTCTCGCGTTGTTATTTTTATTTTTATTTTTATCGTGCTTCGTTGCTGTTTAATTGCACTGTTAACGCGTCAACATTTTAATATACTGGGATGAAAATAATCTTAAGAAGAGTGAAAAATCATTATCCCATTAAAATTTTGATTCTACGAATATCGTGCTACGACGACGAATCAATCAATGAAAAATATTACGAGATACAAATTTTCGAGAGGAATCAGGGAAACGAATTGTTTGAACAAATCGTTCAAGATCGCACGACGAGTCGCACAGTTTATAAAAAATTCACTAGGATTATCGGCCGAGCAACACGATTTCGATCACCGTTTACCTTTACGATCGATCCTCGGTGCACTACTAACTTGGTCTGACCTGGTGTAACTTGGTCGTGGAAGGGGAGTTCCACCAGTTCCCGTTCAGCTCGCCGATCATAGAAAGCCGGATCAGGTTCCAGCCTTCTAGCTCTCTGTATCAGGTGTCGTTCGTGTCCGCGTGCTTGTAACCGAGATTTTTCCTCTGGAGGAACATGTGGATCTCCCGGAAGCTGGGCCTGTCCACGTCGTTCCTGTGCCAGCACTCGCGCATCAATTCGTAGATGTCCTTGGGGCAGTTTTTCGGCAGGGGAAGAATGATCTGAAGGAAGAGAAATGTATTCGGATGAACGATAAAAAAAAAAAGAAAAGGATACACGTCAAAGTTGCGATTCGATTATAAAAATGTTATCGTGCACAGTTTGAAAATATTCCGCTGCATTGTTCGCACGATTCGAATAAACAGGAATAAATTGAAAGGTTTGGTGAAAATTTCAAGTGCGTTTTTAAAAAAAAAAATATATATATATGGAATTAATACGTATTTGTTTCGAATGTTTTTTGTATACGAGTTTTTGAATCTTTGGTAGATTTTTGTGGATTTTTGTATGAAATATGTATTTAAACATTATTATTATTATTTGTAATGAAAAGTCAGATCCGAATGATTTCCGTAATTCGATGTATAAATTCCATTGCGGTGCATAATGGAATTGTGCGGTACGTTTAAACGAATTTACGAAAGAAAAGATTTAATATAATTATTGGCAATAAAATTAGTAATAAAATTTTGAAATTTTGTACACGTGTGTATATATTCTACGTTATTATACGTTATTATAATCTCATGTATATTTTATTTCACACACGTTAAATAATTCTTTCCACGTTCTATTCTCTTCAAACAGAAGAAATATATCGAAATCATAGAACGGACGTACCGATACGAAACGATAGATGTAGAAATTTTTTTTTAAAAAATAATTTTTTTTGATCAACAGAATATCACTTTCACGCACAAAACGTACAAAAGAACTTTCGCACTTCGATATTTTTTATTCTTCAATTAACGAACGTTTCGTGTAACATAATATAAAAGATAGAATTCTACGATACGTTTTTACGAACGTTAAAGCGGTTTCTAACTAAAATTTCATCATTCTATCGAAGTTTTTCTCAAAAAGCTCCTCCTCCCTTTGATCATCTAATAATAAGAATTTAATTATATAATTCAATCGTTTAATTCGTAACAAGAAATCGAAAGATTGGAAAAACGAATGGTGCGAGATATTCGTGTACGCGAGGAGGAACGTGTACTCACCCTTCTATCGTCCTCTTGGTAAAAATACGTTGCGTTCTCGACTATGCGATGATCGGGCAGCTCCTCGAACGGTTGTTCCCTTGCGAACGTTAAAATCTCCCAAAGCGTTACCGCGAAAGACCAGACGTCGCTCTTCGATGTGTGCCTTCCCTGAATTCGTGCAATTTCGACCATTGTATCGATTATTGATAAACTGATTTCGGAAATTTTCACTTTCACTTCCAAAATAATTATTAGTAATATTTAACGCGTCACGATGCATATTTAAACAATTGTATTTTTTAAATCAGATTTTAGGCAACGTGTGGGAAAAGTCGATCGAAATAAATGTGTTAAAGTAAAATGAATTTCGAAAGATAATAAAGGATAATTTTTTAATTCGAAAGTAATCGTGAATCTCGATTGTTTAATAATTTATTATGAAAGAGAACGAATTTTTTTAATCTTTTAAGTGTGTTCAAAACTCTACTTGAAACTACGTTAACATCTACACCGAATGCTGTTGAATATTTTTCAAAAGGATTTATTTTTTATTGCTTTCCACATGAATTACCGTATGTTTTGTCGTAATATTTTTCAATATTAAAATAATTTAGCGCAAAAGAAGATTCAAGTAAAAAGTAAGTAATTGCAAATCCAATGGCTTTTGCATTTAGGGGATTAATACGAGAGATCTAGTTTTTCAGAATATTCCAATATTAATAGTAATAAAAAAAATTTCGCAGTATCGAAAGAAAAAGAAAAAAGAAGTAAAAAAAAAAAGAAATTCTAAAGCGTAGCAGACAGGCCGAAAAAGAGCAAAGGTTCGCAAAGCATAACCCTGCGGAATCGACGTGGAAAAACGTGGAAAATGTAACAGTGGCTCGGTCATAGTTTAAAACTATCGTTAATCAAATTCATCCGAGCCAGTGTGAACGTTTTATGTTGAATGTTATTTGAAAAATTGCAATTGGACGATTCGAATATTTTTTATCGTGTAATTTGATACAAACAATAAAATATTAAACGATAATTCGATCGATAGTAACACACGTAAAAAAAAAAAGAAAAAAAACACAAATGGAATATTCGATTTCCAAGAAGTGAAGTTGAACGCACGATCAGTTTTTATTTTTCATTGCCGCTAATTCATCGGGATAAAAATCGGGGGAGGGGGAACAAAAATACATCGAATAACCAAAATAACCAAGAATATTCTGTTGTTACTTCCATATGATAGAAAATATCTATATAATATGATTAATACACGTTTTAATAGAATTTGTTTTATACAAAAAAAAAAAAAAAGAATTTAACGACGATAAATCACAAAATTTTCAAAAATAATTATCGCAAGATTGAAAATTTCTCGTAAAATATAAATTTGCATGAATACAAGAGATACAAACAATAGACAATTATCTTTCAGAATCAAAAATAGAGAGATTCTCTCACGATTCTCTTTCCCGAAATCATGATGATTTTGATGATACTTCTCTCTGCAAAACGGTCATCTTTCTTTTTTCGTCGCTAGGGGAAGACAAAAGTTTCTCGGTTATCTGAAATTTCGTGACGAAAAGGTATTTTCCCCGTGTCCTGTCGCGTAAACAGTATTCGAAGTAGAAATCTATTTACGAGGCGGCGCGCACGGCAGGTGGTATCGTTGCTTGACGAGAAATTACTTCAACTTAAGTGTTTCAGTTACGTAATTTCATGAAACTACTCCATCTTAAGAAGCGGTGTACACGACGGCATCGAGTTTAACGGGGAACACGCGTGCACCTATAGAAACTATATACATATATATATATATATACACGAGTCTTTGTTGTACAAACGTGTGCGTGCACGTGTGATGGCTAAAACAATCGTTACGCCCGTTAATCCGATATCGTAATTAGTCGTCGGATATTAGACGCGATTAAAAGTCTCGCTGAAAATAAAAATCGTTCGACGTATCAACGGGAAACTTAATTTTTCGCTCGCCAATTTTGTGAATTGAATACGGATCACGATGTAAGATTACAAAGTTGTATTAGAGTGTTTAAATATTATTGAGTTATATAAGAGATCGTTCAAGAATCTTTTAAATTATTCACACAGATATGATTCTTTAACAAAAGTTTAAATTTCAAGTTTTATTCAACATTGACAACTTTCGTTTCACATTCATTCTCAATATTTTTTATTGTATTATCCCTAGTTATTCGTTATTGCATGTACTAATTTTGATCAATCATTAATACACGTATACGCAATTTTTGGTCCAAATTTCTTAGTTTCTTAGTTTCACTCATTGCAAGACAAAGGATTAACTATCAATTCTTTAGTTATACAACAGAACAAAAAAAAAAGAAATGAAGTTGCTATTCAATCTCGATAGCTTTCATTTCACCTACGAAATTTCGAGCTCTCGATATTTGTAAATTAAAAATTAACACCTTTCCACTTATTTTTAAAAAAAAACAAATAAATAAAATTCCTCGTCAATTCAATTTCGATAACTTTCCTTTCAAACTTCCTCCCTTTTCGTTCACCTCGAATGATCTAGCATCGCAGGAAGCCCCAGCCACGTGGCCACGCTTTAACGTCGCTGCCAATAATTTGATAATTGTCGTAAAGTTTACGGGAACAGAATCGGGGGACATTGGATTCGCGTCCAACTTAATAAAGAAGTCGAACGGTTTAAATCATTAAATCGACGCTAATTCCGGATATAATTCTTGGCCCCTTGGTGGGTGGGTGCACGGGCGCGGAACCATTGGCCCCGTTTCATTAACACAATGGCGCGGGATGGATAAACGATGGCAATAATGAAACATTAACGGCGCAGTCAATTCTGAAAATGACTACGAGCGAACGAGCGAGGGGAAAATAGTATATCGGCCGCTCGTTTCCCATTTACCCGAATTACCATTTACCTATCAATTTGCCCCCGCACGGATTTCATTCATACGCGATTTCCGATGCTAATGGGTCCCGCGCTCATCGCTCGATCGATGCTTCGATCTCGAACGGATGGAATCCACGATAAGATGAAACGCTTTTCAACGAGTTCGTGAAACGCGCGCCATTTTGGCCGGAAGAGTGCACGTTTTAAATATTTTGCAACATCCCTTCTCACCCGATAATCTCTGTGTATTTTTTAGAAAAATAAATAATCGATCGACTTGCAAAGAAACGCTTTGAAAATACGCGACAACGATGAAATTTGGAGGAAGGGAAGGAAAAGCGATCGAATTTCTGTACGTCTTTAGATAAATGACGAGAAACATGAGGTTCGACACGAAGTTTGGTATGTTTGAATATTTTTGATTGATGTCGGATGGGAAAGAAGGACACTTGCAACCTCGTCAGTTTTGAAAATACAACAGTTTTGAAATTTGTAATAATTAAGAAAAGAAAAATTGTAATCAAATATTTTATTGAAAAGGGGCTCAAGCATCTTGAGACCTTTCTTGCGAATCGGATAGTACAATTGCAATAGGGTGAATGCGAATCTCGATTATCTGAATTGGTGTTGCATCGTCGCTATTATCATCGGTGTATAATATAATACAGTAATAATACAGTAGAACTCCATTTATGTGAATCTGTTGGGGACAAGAACGCTCGCATAATCAGGCTATTCACTATAATAGGAGACGATCCAATTTCCCTCCCATTAGCTATGACTTTTTATCCAATTAATAGGAGTTCGTGTAAAATGATTTGCAAAAATGATTTAGAAATAATTTTGCAAATACTGTCTCTTTCTTCGATGAATTAATCTTTCATTATCATTTTGTTTTTTAACGATTTATGACTGGTAAATTATTTAGCTTCTTATTTAGCGTTTCTTGTATTGCATTAATTTATTCCCGAGAAATAATGAGTTTTCAACGTTGATAATTAAGATTTGCTGGAAATATGAACGATGATAAAATCGAAATAGAAACGAACAAGGAAACAAGAAGAATTAAGGAAAATGGGACATTAAGTTTAACATTAGCCTGCTATCATTTAATTAAAGCGCGGAGCCTTGTCATTAAAGAGAAACTAGCGTTAGCAGTTGCAACTGTAATGCGTCCAATTAACACGAAACTCGCGTCTCGCCAAATATTCCTGATCCCAATTACCTCTGAAAGACAGAGACCGAGCTCGATATTACGTTTGATCGCAAACATGTTTATTCTACTTGTCGCGTGTATTGAAACATCGAAAAACAAAAAAAAAAAAAACAAAAAAATCTTATCCAAAGAAACACTCCTTCTTCCATTCTCGAACAGTAAACATCAACATCAATTGTCTTCATTCTTGTCTTTCTTAAAGACAAGATCGTAGAAATTGTTATAAAATCGTTGTTATGAAACTCGATTAAACGATTGTATATCCTTGTGTTAAACGAAATATTATATTTCTAAAAATTTATATTTAATACGAAAAAAAAAAAAATAGAACGAAAATAAGATTAATATTATAACGTATTCTAGTTACTTTTGACGATTCTTTTCCTAATCTGCATCGATTGTGAAAACGAGCATATTTATGCATAATTCACATATATATGAAAAATGTATGGAAGATGACAGTGTGCATATTAATCCTTGTCTAACATTTACAACTTGTCGCTAGATTATTACTTCATGAAAATCGATGAATCCAATGAGTCCAAACACGAAATGCATATTTGAATTTTAATCAAAAAAACATATTGCATATGATGAAAAAATAGTTATACGAAAATCGCTCGATTTCACAATGTTCAATTTTATCACTTTTCTTTCGACGTACGTCTCTTCGAATAATGTTACGATGCCAGAAGTGACATGCATCAATGCCAAGTGAAAAGTGGCATACATCGATACAAAGAACTTACAATGCCTCGTCAGAGATGACATACGTCCGTTAAAGGTTTAAGTTCCCAATTTTACCTCATTTTTTTCCGATATTCACTCGTATAAGACTCTCATACAGATCCATATATGTGTGTACGCTCAGTTACAAAAGTGTTCGTGCATCTTTTTGCGAATTTAATAATAATTCTTAATTTTTGTATAAGATGTATAGTAAATCAATCCTTAAAATTTAATATTATTTTTCTTTTTTGAATTATATTTCGTAATGACGGATTAAAATTTTTAGATTTTAAAGTATTCGAGTTTATTAGTGCTCTATTACTCTTGAAATTGGGTGAAAAGAAGATAAAATTACGGGAAATTGATTCTCTGCACGAGTAAAAATATAGAACGAACATTATTCTTTTTTATATTTAACTTCAGTTCGCAATAATCAAATTGAACTCTAAAATAAATACTGGCATCTCGAAAATATCGATCTCAGTAAAAATTATCTTTTTATATTTTACTTATATTTTTATCCCCAGATCAATGAGTGAACAGATGTTATATCTACGATATGCGTAAATCGGAAGAGCGAAATTTTAAGTGAACGAAACACGAGAATTTCTTCTCTTCAATTGCGAAACTTCCATCTAACAAACAAAGAATCAAAAAGAATTGCTGAAAGCAGAACATACAATTTCCCGAAATAGCCACAAAACATCAACAATTATTACAACTATAAAATTCCTTGCCAAGATCGAGTTCGATCTCAAACCTCGAAACCTCACAAATCACGTTCCAGTAATATTCTATTCATTCAAAGTTGAACAAAATTCCAGAAATTATCGAATCGCACATTCATAACACGCAACATCCTTGTATCATATTCTTCATTCCTTGACATTTTTCAGAGATCGAATAAATTTCCTTAACACTTTTGCAATCGACTGTACTTCCCTACACGATACGTATATACATATATATAATACGCCCCCTGAACATCGAAAACGAATCCTCGAAAGCGTTTTTTTTTTTAACCGATACTTTTACAGCGGTCTCGCGATGACACGAGGCGCATGGAAACAGCGAATAAGCCCGATTCGTTAATGCCACGCGACCGCAGACAGCTCTATCGGGCTGATGCTTCGCGGTTTCGCGGATCGACAGTCCGATATCGGCACGGACGAGAAATTAAAAACAGGATACACCGGAATAAAATACGCTTCGCTCTGGCTATCGTTCGTTACACCGATCTATGTATACATGTATGCCTGTTCCCAGCCGATAAATTCGCCGTAACCACGCGGAATAACGTGCATTCTCGCGACTTCGTTCGCGGGCCGAGTCTCTATCGTGAATGCTAACCGGGTTGCATTACTTTTGCAGGCCGATAACTATGCCACGCCGGGGCGAATAACCGGGCGCGCGATGAATAAATTAACAACAGGGAATCATCCGTGGCCTCTCGTTTGGATAAAATTATCACGTAGCGGCGTTTTACGAGCTGGAACATTTCGACGGGGGCGTGGCCTGTTGTAATTGTTGCGAATTAATCTCTGAATGCGAATTCTTGGAAGGGAGAAGAGCGGCTACTTTGATATTTTTATCGGCGATGAACGTGCGTTTTCATTCGTGGAAATTTTTATTTTTCCAGTTTGGTTCGAGGAAGGGGTAATGTATCGATTCGTGGCAAGGATTTCTTAGTGTTCAGATCTTTGGAAAATTTAAGGGATGAATTGGAATATTGGAGAGATGTGAATTATTGCGAATGAATTTCTGATAATATCTTTTCGTGGAAATTTCCATTCTTGAATTTTGATTCATCGAAGTATCGATTCGTGACAAGGATTTCTCAAGGTGTTTAGATCTTTAAGGAAAATTTAAGGAATGAGCTGAAATATTTCGAAACATGTTGTATTAATCTCTGAATTTTTGGAAAAGAGAAGAGCGATGATTGATGATATTTTGTTGTCGATGAGTGTGTTTTTATTCGTAGAAATTTTTATTTTTTCGAGTTTGGTTCAAGGTAAGTATCGATTCGTGGCAAGGATTTCTCAAGGTGTTTGGATCATTGAAAAATTTAAGGGATGAATTGAAATATTTCGAGACGTGAATTATTGCGAATGAATTTCTGATAATATCTTTTCGTGGAGATTTTCGATTCTCGAGGTTTGATTCGTTGAAGTATTGATTCAGATTTTTAGAATGTTTAATGGAGACGAAAAATTGGATAATTTTTATAGAAGATGATCGAACGGAGTTTTATCCATGAATATTTTATGTTTCGAAAGTATTTATGAATCCCTAAGAATTTCGAATTTTTTTAAAGCGAAAAGATTAGACAATTTATTCATGAGAAGAAATCTCATGAAATTTTATTCCCCGAATATTTTAAATTTCTATTCATAAACAAGCTTTGAACGAAGTATCCACGAAGTATCGTCAAATTTTTCAGATATTTTTAAAAGTTTTACATTAAGAAGATTGCACGATTTATCTAAGTGAATGTGTCTGTCTGTCATTGAGAGATAATATTTACATTAATAAAACACGAGAGGTAAAAGGGTATATCGGGTGTATAATGGGTGGAAAAATGTGCAGGCTGTTGTGGCCAGAAATTAAGTCAAAAAGCTTGTCTCGACCACCGCAAACTAGACGTTGATGTTTACCCGGCTACTTTTATCGAGCGTGCTAACCGCAAACTGTGTACCGCGCCAGTTTCGCTATACTTTCAAAATATCACGCATACCATTAACGTTACGAAACACTTTTCCCCATCGAAATACTTCAAACGGATGACAAAAGTGCAAATATTTGTAATTTCTCATTAAGCGAAGAGGGAAATATAACGCAGACATAAAAGACGTTGAAAAAATCTTTATCGTTCATCTTTCTTTCAAAATAAATAGAATTAAATTAATTATCCGTTAAAATATTTTCAACTATATCTCCATATCTTACGTTTTTTAAATCTTATAATCTTTAAACCCAAAACGAACGAATAAATAAAAATGGAACATATTTCTATTACGTTAAACCGAAAACAAATTATCCGTACGATTATACACTTATAACAATTTAGTATAATCGCAAAACGTTAGGAATCGTCGAAAATTATTCACCCAGAAGCAGGGAAGAGGTATCATCAAAAAGCGAACGTTTCAGGTTTATTAACCACAGGTAATATGACCTAATCTCTCACCCTTCAACCCCCTTCATCTGCTCGAATCCACTTCCTCGTATCCTCGTGGATCAAGGTAGATAGGTTTCTGAACAAGGGGGTTAAAATAGATCCGGGATGGATTCAAAGTCGAAGTGGTTGGAGCCGCGCATTAAACGGTAATCGCTGTTGTTTCAACTCTTCGTGCGAGGATCGAGCGAATCTTCGAGGCAAATATTGGAATGTGGAAAGAAAGGGAGAAAGGACGAACGAGAAAACGAAAAACAAAAACGAAAAACAAAAATGAAAAAGGAGGGGGGAGGGAAAAACAATTGGAACTTTCGTCGAGCACGAAGCGAGGCTTTGATTTTCGTGGCAGAGGGAAGAAGGGTGGAAACAATGGGCGGAGAGGTATATATTTCGCGAAAGCCAAACCGAGTTTCATACGCGCGGATGCGTAGCCACGGTCCATTTAAATATCACTGGCCACTCGATCGCGCTCGCTTTATTTTTCCTCCCCCGCCCCGCCTGCAAAAATCGTTTACAATTTGCTCTGTGGCGTCTGCTTCAACCGATCAAACTTGATTCGTTTCACCCCCGTGAAACGGGGGAAGCGATCCGTTGAAAGTTATTTTTTTTTTTTTTTCGGAATTAGGAATGGTGTACACATCGTTTCGAGATTTATTCGTTATTTTTTTTTTTTTTTCTTTTCGATGATCATTGGATGAACGAACGAGAAGGAAAAAGTGACCAAGTATAAATGGGGTTAATTGGAATCTATTTATAACGTCGAATTAATCGAATGTGTGTTTTACATCGTGTTTGATACATCGATTGCTATGTTGCTCTTGGACAAGGAAAGTATGATTTATCTGATTCTTTCATTTTATCGATTTGGTTGTTTTTAGAATTGTTAATTTTTATAATCGTGCAATCTTTCTGAAAGGTTTGTTAATCTAGGAAAGACAAGTTTAAAAATCTCTTTCACCAATCATTTTTACGTTGAATTTCAAATTTGTACGATTTGTCTTTTTTTCTGTGATAAAATAGCACATGTCGAACGCATTCGGTTTAAATCAATGTGGCGAACATATTATTCAACGTTACGTACATTTAGTCGTTAAATACGGTCTTACAAATTGGCGAAATCGATTGCTTCATACGCAATACGGAATACGCTTAATAGAATCGGACCAATCAAACTATCGAATGAATTACTTTATTATAAATCCAATATTCGAGGCTCCACGATTACAGATTAACTGCTAATTAACGACTTACCATTAGCATAGCTTCCCAGGCCATCCATCGGATTGGCAATGGCGGCCGACCCTCCACCCGGAAATAGTCGGCTGCGTAAGCGTTTCTTCCGGAGCCCAGATCGCACACTTTCACCGTGTAACCACGGCTCACCAAACAATTCCTGCAACAAATCATGCATGAATCATAAATCACTCCAAAGTGTAAAGCAGGGTAGAAAAGTATTCGAAACACTTTATTGCTTTTGTATTTTGTATTTTTAATGGAATTTTTTTGGAAGTGGAATCGACGCTCGAAGAATTTTAACGAATTTTCTTCAGTTTCTTTAAAACTACAATTGTAACAATGTCCCAATAAAAACACTGTTATTGTAAAACTTCTCGGATGAAATTGTATTAAAAATTGATGAAGATGTTGATAATTGTGGGACTTAATTTCACGTTTTGAAAAAGATTCCTCTGTACGCAATCATGCGAATTACACATTTTTCAACAATTTTTCATTATACTTTTCAATCGACTTACATTAGTAACGCTAACTTTTTCAATATTCGATGATATTGTCGAAAAAGAGTCCAGTTTTGTAATATTTCTGCTCGTTCTTTCGTTGCCTAAAACACCGTGAACGATGTTTCTTTCCTATTCTATACCTTTCATCCATGGGGTAAAATCCATCGCCCTACGAGAAAATATGGTAGATTCGAAGGCCGTAATCCGTCTTCAGGGCCGAGTGGATTATTCCGGTTTCCCCTATCTCGACACTCGAACACGTAGGCGAATGTATCGCCGCGAATCGTGCTCGAAGGATTGTTTACGGCCTTGAGACTGGATCAACCCGTATCCGGAGGAAGGATACGATCTTCTGGTGATCCATATGCGTTTGACGGGTACGTTGATCCATTTTGATGGAAGAACGTGTATTTTCGCGACTAATTTGCTCTTCTCTTTTCGTGTGAGTAAATATTGAGAAATTGTGTACTATTGACTCTATATATATGTAGATTATTAGGATAAAAAGGAATCCATATAAGTTAAAAGGTAATTTTATCAAAAGTGTTTGTAGTGATTTCTTTAATGATTGCAGAAACAGTGAATTTTTCTAAAACATATTTTAAACTGTTAAATGTTACAAAACATTTGAACATTACTTGTTTGATGATAAAAGGATCAGATCAAACTCTATCAAACCAATAATTTTTTTTTATAAGAGACAAATAATATTTCTTCGATATATTATTCAAGGAATAACGAGAAATAAAGTTAGGAATAAAAATTAGTTCAAGAAACGAGTCACGTATCCAACATACTATTCGTATATTACTCAAATGGCCTACTGTAAAATTACCACATAAATAAAGAAAGAAAGCGCATCCAGCTTCCAACGAGAACGCCTTCTTTCGATAAGAAAGGAGGCTTATCTGACACGTGTGTCATTATTTGTTAATTAGAACCACAATTCCTCCACAGTTTATCATTCCTCTGCTCCGTTCCCTCTTCCTTTCCCCCCGAAGTATTCACGAGCTAATCACCGTTTTCAATGGCGAAAAGTTACAGAGGAGGAGATCAAAGGGGCGAACGACATCTCGAGGGCTCGAGGTAAAACCATTTTCGCCGACGAATGGGAATCCAAGGCAGCGCCCATTCGTCTGTCGCGCGTTTTCGCGTATTCTATAAAACCACGTCTGGCGTCGATTGTGGAGAGCCGTTTCGAGAGTCGCCTTTTAAGAGAGCTCGCCTCGAGCCGGAAGCGGGCCTCCGCCGAGAGCGACGATCGTTCCAAGTTTCACGCCGATCTCTGAACGTGAAAACTGCCCGTTTATCGTTCACAGTCGAGAGGAGGTTTAATAGGTAGGAGGTATTCATCCCGCTTGTGAACGGAATGGACACGGTCCTCGAGATCTCTGCAGATCTCTCGTGAAACTGATTCAACACCGCGGCTTAACGATCGCTTTAACGTATTACTATAAGTTTTCTAATTAGTCCTTTTCTGCTACCGAAAAATGCCGTAATTTTCTCCTCGCTGACGCTGAAAATATGAAGAGGGCTCTTTTTTTCTTTTTTTTTCGCAGAATTCGAAAAAAATTATGGAGTTATAAGCAGTTTGTACTGATATTTGTTGTTACGTTATTATATCTTTTTCCTTTTATTTCGTATGGAGATATTTTAACGATGCATCACACGATAAGTTAATAGAATTTGAAAATGTATTTGTAGGATTTTATCAATAAATACAAATGCAATAACGTGACAATGATTATACGTCTAATTGAATATATCTTTCGTCATTTTTCATCATACATGTTAAAAATTGTTGACGTCGAGTTGCTTTTGTTTATCTCTATAAAACGATCAAACTGCACTAATACGTTCTACGAGTAAAAATAAGAAAAGAATGTTGTATAAACATAGATCTGCTTTGTTACATTGAAAAGAAGTTTATGTTTCCAACTTCAAAGTGTCGTTACGAATGCAAGCCTGACATCTTGGGGAAACTGAATTTATCACTCTCCAAATTTCATCTTTATCTTGCTTTAATTCAGCGAATGCACAATTAATACTTTCTCTCAGTGCACTTGCAACGAATTGATGTTTGAACGTAATCGCTTTCACTGTTCCTCACAGATAAATAATATCTAATAATAGATATAACTTTCTCTTAAGATACTTTCTAAACTAATTATATATTATTCGAGGAAAATTAGGAAAAAGCTTTCAATTTCTACAAGATAATTCAACACAAATCTAATCACCTTTACCACCAATCAGAGCAGCAATAAAATCAACAAGAATCGAGAAATAAAAGTAAAATTATATATCATATCATTTATGGGGCGCAATGCTCAAAACTCGTTTCTGTAAATCAATCGGCAATTAATTTCATCCGCCACAGGCTTGCGACGCTCTTTGTAATTAAAGTTTATGATTAGAGTTAATAATTCGAGCAACGTGACCCCAACCATCATCCTCCACTCGTTCCCTTTTAACAGCCCTGACACGTGGAGTTGCACGCAGGTCGCCACGTAGCTTTATCGAGGATTCGAGAAGTCGTAACTCGATGAAACTTCCCTCTTAAAACCGGAAGTGGCTTACTCTTCGACACCGAAAGGAAAGAAAGTTGGACGCGTGTTAGTCGAAGGGAAAGGTAATTGGCCAATTTGTCATTGTCTTTAGGGCCGTAGCGATTTGTACGACGATGACTTCCACTTTGATTAAACGGTCGGCTTAAATTTCTTTCTTTTTTCTTTTTTAGATGATCGAGCGTTTGTTTCTCGGACGAAAATGCGCAGAAAATTAAGATTGGAGAGGATTTATATCGACGAATGAATTCTAATGTTTGAAAGCACTTGTCAAATGGCAATTTGATTTCTTTGCATCTATTTTCTTTTTTCTTTTGAGTTTTTAAATTTAACAAAATATCCTTATGTTTAATAAAAAAAGATATCGATCATTAACGCACAATTTTCCATTTTATTTGATTCATGCTAATTCGCTTCTTCGTTTTTAAAAAATAATCATCGACTTTTGTTCGAATCATTTCTTTCATGTTATTTTAATAAAATAAATATCAATATATAATTCAAATATAAATTATACCGTTTCTGAACAATTATAAATTTCCAGGAAAAAACTTTCGAATTTATAACTTCGATTTTCCACATAAAAGCAGAATTTAAAAGCCAAAAACCATTTTCCTTTCATTCTCCAAACAATACAACAAAAATAATTTCAAGGAAAGTAAAAAAAAAAAGCAATCTCTTCCAAAACTCCTTCCAAGCTTTCCCATTTGACGAAAGTTCATTAAGCAATCAACCTGCTTCAAATTCTGTCCGCGCGTTAACGATTACGCGCTCGAACTGCCGCCGATCGTTACCATTCCCGGAAACACGTGATGACAAAACTGTGCTCGCCGAGTTTCTGGCCGAAATACCGCGTGAAAGTTGCGAGCACCTCGATCGAGCGGATATAGCCGTGCAAAAGTAAGCGGAAACTCGGTTCGAGAGAAGAAAGGCAGCAGGCGGAAGGGCAACGTCGTGTCCCAAACGTCGAGGCCGGGGAATGACTGATCGGCGAAGTTTCGACTTAAAGTAATCTACGAGAAACCTGTCTGTCGTTACCTTGTGGCGAGATCCCGATGCACCAAGTCCATTTCCTCGAGGTGTTTCATGCCGGATGCTATTTGCGTGGCCATGTAGATCAACGTGCCGAAACTGCAACAGGAAGAACGAGAGGCGGGTTCAAAAGTTTTGCACGACGAAACTTCGTTGTGTGTGTGTGTGTGTGTGTGTGTGTACACAAAGACGTATCGGCTCGCCGCAAATGACGACGGTTTGGAAATACGTACGTATGGATCGGCCATTTGCATTAACGAGAAAGTAGATGGCGCATCGTTGTTGTCCAGCGAAGATTCTAGTTGATGAAAGTTGAACGATGTTTGTTTTCATGAGCTTTTTCTAATGGTACGTGTATATATGTATAATGATTTTACGTTTTTCGAGAGTGTCGAGGATTGGAAAAAAGTATTGGAGACGTTCATTTTTTTTTAATTCGATCAATTCTTTATAGTCGTGTGAGACTTATCATTGAATATTACAATGTAGAGCGAATATTTCTGGCTATTTTAATTTGACAAAAAGTAAGGGATAGAAATAAATCCAAGATTCGAAAATTGGAGAATGATTTTATAAAAACATTCATAATCCTCCCCCTCTCGAACTGTTCAAGTTCACTGCAATAATTTCTATACGCTCACGAGGCGTGTAAATTCTAATACACTCACGGGCGAAGCGTATAAATCCCTAACGTAACATCATCATTCTCGGTTATCGTTCCAACGAGTCTCTAACGAAAATGTACGACAACACAGAAGCGAGCGTCCGTCCATTCGTTCGAATAAAACACGGATCCCTTTTTCGATTCGTTATTTTGCATGCGCGGATTACACGACAGATTTATTTTAGTTCACCTGCGCTTCCTCCTAAATGGAAACGCAATCTCAGCCTCTTCCGATCCTTTCTTCCCCCTCAACGGGAGACATTTATCTCAACTTAGATCTACTTCAACTGTTTCGATGGAAAGATTTCTGTCAGACTCGAGATCCGATCACGGATTTTGCAAGCATAGAAAATTCGAAATTCGTATAATTAGACATCGCACGTAACTGCGACGATTCGAATGCGCCTTAGCTCCATCGCGCGAATCTACTTTTACCGGTCGCGCCGAGAAGTCGTTCCGTTTTATCGACCGGGCACAGATGGAGAAATATTTGTCGTTCGCTACGCAAATTTCCACTCGCTCGTGTAGATCGATACGGTTCACTGCTTCCGTGCGAAGACAAAGAGTGGATGGATCTCTATATCGGTCGTTTTCTCTGTGCATTTCGGGGGAAGCGGAACGGGAAGCGCGCGGGAAAAACACGGCCCGCTCGACAGCTGTCACGAGCACCGATCATCTTCTCTCTCTCTCTCTCGTTTTCACCCGATTTCTCGTATTTCGAGCACTTTCCAACGAGGCGTGGATCCACATGGTGATTGGACGTGGCGTTACGGGGTATCGATGATCGAAAAATCGAAAAATCGGGCTCATTGAACGTCATCGTTAACCGAGACACCGGTTTCCACTCGCGAGTATCCACCAGTGAGTACAATCGTTATTTCGGTTTATGACGTGCTTGGCCAATGGCTATTTGTTGTAAGATAGAGAACGTAGTGTCTCAAGTTCGATCGGGGATTTTTAATTTTGAAATGTTTGGTTAGAAAAGATTGAGATTATTCGATTTGACGAGTATGTTGAGAGAGAAGGTGGTAGAAAGTTGAATAAAATAGGAGATATTTATTGATACAAATTGTTAATATTTAATCAATTTGTTTTTTAAATTTAAAATTTTGAATAATATAAATTATACATAAATTTAATTTGCTTTTTAATTAAAAAAAAAAAAAAGATACTGAAATTGAACAAATTGAACAAATTGATAAATATATATATTTTGCAATTTATTTAATATTACGATAATAAATATTTTAGAAATATTGTTGTCTCACTTTTTTGTTTGGAAATATTCTATAGAAATGAATTCCGTTTAAAATTTAATACAATTATTATACTTCTTTATAATTCCATATTGATTTTCTACATGTGCAAATTTAAATAAAGCACAGTTAATTAGTTTTGCTTTTGGAAATTATTCATGAAATGATTAATTATTCATTCTTTACATTTCCATAATAAATCCAATACTTAAATGAAATCATTCAGTTGATGACGAAAGTTGAATACAGTTTCGGAATGAAAGCACACGAAATAAAGAAGCTCTCCATATGTGGTTAAATTCCCAAAGTTTCGATTATTAAAAATAGCGAAAAAAGATCAAACGAATTCCATAAATTGACGCAACGATACAAAGACGACGAATATTGGTACAGCTGGATATTTGTTCCCGACAAAATTACAAAGAGAAACGTGAAAAGTTACATCGCGATAATTGATCGAAATTTTATCAAATGCATCATTTTCAAACCAATTAATTTAAGAAATAATATAAATAAATATTCACCGTTCGAACAAGTAAAACGTAAAAAGGGAATTAGTGCTCTCTCTCTCTCTCTCTCTCTCTCTCTCTCGATTACAATTAAATTTCAAAAAACGTATTTAAGCGAGAGAGAAATGGGATGATAAAGAGGAAGGGGGAGGAGGAGGGAAATAACGTAAACACTCGCAAATATCGGAAAAATCCGGCAATGTCCCCTCTCTGTTCACGCTACTTCACGAGACACAAAACCCTCGTAATCCACGATAAGCCGCTCGTGAACGCGAAAGTAAAGAGGCAATATTTACAAGAAGATTTTTAACAACGACCTTCCACGAGTTTACCCACCTCTCCTACAACTCCCCACCACCCACCATACACACGATAATTAGGCTTCGTACCTGAGGGTCTTAGCGGTGTGCACGGTCGACGTTTCAGCTATATGCCTCTGCAGATATTGATTCAGATCCCCGTACTCGCCGTTCTCCAACACGATGCACATCGGGTCGTCCCCGAGGCTCGCGCCGAGCAGCCGCGCGACATTCCGATCGGCCAGCCGCGCCAGTCTTTTTGCCTCCTCTTGAAATTCTATCCTGGAAAAAACACACGACACAAAGAAGTAATATCTTTATGGTCGGCCACCCTGCGAACCCGGGCCGGCTATTGAACACGGACTCGAGTTTATACTGCAAATAAACTACGCGATATATCGATATATATATATGCAGTTAAGGAAATAACTGGTGTTTGAATAACTGGAGGATCAGATTGGAAAACGGAATCAGGCTTGTTACAAAAAGTTGGGACAGAGATTTGGATAATTAGATAGGACGGTGGAATCATTGGAGTAGAAAGGTAGGAGCTCGTACAATCGGATAATGGAGAGGACGAAGCGAGCGAATCAAGATCGGTTCATAAGCTGGAGGACGTTTGAATAAGCGAAAGTGGTAAAAGAGCGCACGAATCGAGCAGACTAGTCTTGTCATTGCTATAGAGCTAGACATTCGAAAAGGAAGGCGTTCATAGAGCGCTAGAAGCGGATCGGTTCAAATAATCGAGGGATTATTGGTCGGTCCATAGAGTTGGGAAGATGGGTCTCCTTGGAAGGAGAACAGGTCCATCGAGAGAGTTGGAGAGTTGTTTGGGCAATAAGTTCGAACAACCATTCGATTAGGTTATATGGATTTCATGTAAAGGATTTTAGCGATGGATTATTTTAGAATTGGAGAAAGATGATGGATTTATTTATTTTAGGAAACGGTATTCTGTATGTGAGTTGTTGGGATAGAGTTGCACACGATAGTTAATACAATTATTAAATAGCTTCGAAGAGAGGAAGGGAAGGCATCATTTCGAACACCTTCTTTTAATCCACATAAGTGAAAGAAGATAAGAAAAGATAAATATTACACGTAGACTCTATTTTCTTTTCAATTATTCATTAAAAAAACGATCAGATCAAAATCCATCCAACAAAATTCACGTGATTTCTTCGCTTCAGCATGACTTACCAACCACACTGGCAAAGTTATTCAATTTCCTTTTGGGATACTGTATTACACACACATATATATACATCTCCCTCTCTCTCTCTCTCTTTCCTTTCGACCTTTCACGAGAAGAAAGGGGGAGACGGGGAGACAACGGAAGAACGGAGGAGGGTTTTGTAGCCGGTGAAAGCTACGTAACACGGGGCCCGGGATAATGGCCACTGCCGAGATTATCGTTTCGAGAACTGCGAGTTCTGTGTTTAACAGAGCTTTTCGCTTGTGTTTCGGTTGTCTAATATTTAGGATCACGATAAGAGGGTTTGCTGGCGGGCGTAACAACGTCCGGCACAGTTGGTTCCAGGGAAGTAACGCTCTCTCTCTCTCTCTCTCTCTCTCATCGAGATCGATCCTGCCTGGATTTCGTATATTATTCGCGGAGGATTTATACGCGATGTTCGAACCGGGGAGGAAAGTTGCAACCTAGGTCCACGAATTTCCCGGTAATTATGGCCGGTAGTCGAGATGCTGCCCCCTCTCCCGTCGTCCCGACTCTTAATTAATAAATTTCGCTATTTTGGGTAATTTCCAGCCGAGACAAAGAAGTCGCACCCTCTTCCCCCGTGGAGGAGGAGGAGGTCAATCCCTCCGGGGAGGTCAGCGAAGAAGTTTCGAGTCGAAACTTTCTCGCCGACGTAGGGCGAGAATCGTAATTTTTTGGAAAAATTTCGCTGAACGAAGAAGAAATCTCTGGATGGATGGACACCGCGGGAGAAATTGGGGAATCGTTTCGAAGATTTTTTAATCGATCGTTGTTTCATTGTGGAAAAAATTTCTCTTTCGAAAGGGAAAGAGATCGATCGATTTTAATTGAAATTCGATATAATATTATTTCTATTTAGAAACAAGTTTAACGAATTGAATCAGAAAATTGAGAAAAGGTTTAAAAAATTTCACGATACTTTCAGAAAAAAAGTCTTACACCGTTTATAAGTTTCGGCCAGATTCGTATTTGACAACAGCTGTACGAGAAATTACTGTCGAAGATATTTTTTATCGGAGAGGCGAAACGTTGGGGGAGGGATAAACGGGGACGATTGTACTTCCGGTATCCCGTTAAGAGGCCGCTCGACAATACACGTTCCGCGAGCGAAGGCAAGCCTTGTAATCCTCCGATCCTGTCTACTCGGATCATCCTTTCGCTGTGCCAGCGATAACGCAGCGCGTGTTCCACGCCGGGACACGCTTTATCGTGTACTTCCGGCTCCGCTTCCTTCGCCTCCTCGAAATCGATCGACTTCCACGAGGAGACGAAATGCATAAAGTTCGGTCGAGAACGTTAGTCCCCTCATGAATTTTACATCACGTACGTGGTACACAATATAGGTATAGGCAGAATTTAGAAGCGCGAAACGAACGAACGTGATTAATTAAATTAATAGGAAAAGATTTGCAATTATATTTGAATATTCAAAAGATTTGCTTTCGATTATTGTAAAAGTGGGGGGGAAAAAAAAATACTTCGAATTTTTATGTAAAAAAGAAAAAAAAAGCAGGGGGAGAAGCTGAAACTTTTGTCATCAAAACTCACTCGGAAAATAGAGGAAACTACGCCATTGAAAATCCTTTTATTAGTTTTATCCCGATATCTCAATTGGTTGCCGAGATATAAAGACTCGAAGTTTTCATACCGCTTAAAAGATTATGGATTCACTGTTCTATATTTTTCCTCGAGGATCGAAACTCGTATCGGGATAAATCGAAAATTGTTTTAAAAGGAAACGTTCCGTGGTTCCAATGGTTTCTCATTGATCGATCGAAAGTCATCGATCTTCGAAGTTATAGCGATTCAAAGTTTTCGTAATTTTAATAGAGTTTACGATAACGATTCAAAATTACCTTTTTCTTTGCGCGACGATTTTCGGGATAAATGAAAAAGCATTTCAAACATTATTATCTTCGTAGTACTAGCAATTTAAATTTTTTCTAATTTTAATAAGAACGCCAATCGAAATCCGCTTAACGTAAATTACGGGATATAATTATTTTATTCCTGGAAAAATACGAATACTTTCATGACGAGCGTGTTGAAATCTTTGAATTTAGTTAAATATCGAATCTTCTTATTCTTGATATTTTCAGGAAATATATATATATATACATGTATTTCAAATACGATACGATTCTAAGATTTCTGAACGGAACCAGAAACTCTGAAACTTATAGCCGGAGTTATTTAATAATAAACTTGGAGAAACGCAAACGAGAAACTCGCGAAACGTTGCTTTGTGCGCGTTAAAAACGTCTAAACTCGATTATTAAAACGACCGAGACACGAGACGGATTTAAATTTTCCACGGTTGAACGTTCGCGTGGAACGGCACGAGTCAATGAGAAACTTGTACGCCATTCCACGGTATAAATTCCCCGAGTTTATCGTCAATTGCGCGAAACGAGCCGAAGGATTTTTAGGATTCGGTTAATAGCCGACCTCTGTCGCGAAAAGTGGCAACGAGCTTAAGTTATTCGATTAAATAAACCACTCGTTGATCACCAGTTTATCACATTCTCTTCCGCGTTGTATCCGCGCCCCGACAACTTAATACGCAGCCGGCCAGTGTCGTGAAATCACTCTCTCCACCCCGTGATTCGTCCAATTATCGCCTTATTAACCTCCTCCCCTCTCCCCCAAATATATAATCGATCGAGATACATATGTATACCTCACCGTCACAGCAAAACGAATAAATATCGATCCATAATCGAGATAATTTCCCATCGGTTAATCCCTGCATATTTTCGGTTAGGCGTGAAATATCGGATCGCTTAATAGTTCCGGCCAACTCTATTAAACCGAGTCGAAACGAGTGCGGCAATAAAGCGTTGTTCCATTCATTTTTATCGGCAAATTTAATTATGGCCGTGGAGCTTTATCGATTCCCGATTTCCGGCCACGCGACGCACAACCCCCTCCCCCGTTGTTTCGCCCAGAAGGCGAAGAAATTGGCGCGGTAAATCGCGACGAAGAAATAAGCTTGGTCGGATCGAAAGGTTTATTCGTATACGCGAGACGAGACCGATAATTCCATGCGATGCCCTGGCTTTTTTTAATAATTTTCCTACGCACGATTTACTATCCTTCCCTTACTTTTTCCTTCTATTTTATTTCGGGGGGGAGGATAAACGTATCTAGATGGGCCGGATCGTTCGCTTGTTTGTCGATAACAGCCTTCGATACGCTGTTTTCATTCACGCGGTGTAACAACCGTTTCTACACACGCGACAAACTATTACTCAATTATTACTCTGCTATTGACACGGCTGCAATTTATTGTGCTGCAGCTGGATACATTTCGGTGGCAATGCTTCGGCGCCACGCGCTCTGTCATACGCCCGAAATTCCCTTGTCAATTTTCGCGCATATACTCAATTTATAGCGTTAACCTTCCTCGACATGGGGAAAAAAAAAAAAAAAAAATACGTCTCCAATTATTTAGAATTTCGACGAATTTTACGTTTTTATCAATTTTTAATTTCGACCAGGATGTGAAATTTCGTGCGATATTTCGTGCGATGTGAAATTTTTATCATCTCCATTTTCACGTCTATTTTCATTTTCCCCCGATTACAAAAAAGGATCCATCGAAATCAAACTACTTAGCTTCCGTCCAAAAAATATTTTCCAATATTACCAACGAATGAAAAGATCTCTACGCGAATTTCCATCTTTAATACGCGCAATAATCCAATAACGAACCGGATCGAATATTTTCTCGCGTTTATAAGAGCCCGAAAAATCTCGATAATACCGAGATTCTCGATATCGATTCGGTATCGTGGAAATTTGTTCGACAATAATCGAGATCTCCTAATAATCTCCTTCCTTCCTTCCTTCCTTCCTTCCTCTCTTTCGATTTAAAAAATTATTATTGTAACCAAGATTTTCGATATTATTCGCTGGATATTTGCCGGTGCATTTGGACGATGATACAAGGCTCTTACCTAAGCGCATCCGAGGATCCAGGTCTCAGGGACTTAACGATCACCAGGTCGCTGGTTGTGTTCCGGAAAACTTCGTCGTAGCCTGGAAACCTGTCGACCTCGCAAATGTGAACGTCGCCAAAGTATCCGCAACCGAGGTTTTCAACGATGTTGAGCTTCTCCCGGGGGAAGTCTAAAATGCACTCGGCCACCTCGTCCTCCTCTTCCGTGAGCATGTCCTCGGGACTGTAGCTTGTCATGCTGCTCGAGGCTTTCGCGCTCATTGGGGGAGGCGTGCTCGGCGTCGGGGATGGCGGCAACGGTGGCAGGGAATTCTGTGATAAAAATCGAGACGAGACATCATCATCGGAGTTATCCGAGAGAAAATGGAATAGAGTTTCGCCTAATTTTAAATTTAAACTGTGTGGTTCGTGAACTCAGCTTCGACAGAAAGCTTCGAATCGTGCTGTTTCGATCTGATTGAAGAGAAAAAAGTTTTATTATTCGTGGATGGACAAGTATGTAACAAGCGTGGAGAGCGAGTGTGGCTCGTGCGTTTTAAGAAAAATGATTCTCGACAGTTTTGTTTTATTTTCGAAGGAATTGCTCGCGAGAGGAGAAAAAGAAAACATTAACATCGTGATTAATTTTCTATACGCTTCCGATTGCTTTTCGCCTTTATTTCTTCTTTTTTTCCGCCTCGTTTTTCCTCCACTCTTTCTTTTTCTTCTTCTTTTTAATTAGAGCGTTTAAAGTTCAGCCGTACACCGGGTTCAACAGCGCGTGTTAAAATGCATCACGCGGAGAATAATGAAGCTTAATGGACGAAAAACAAGGGAACCAGAGAGGACTATCAATCATGACTAATGCGAGACTTTTGCACGGGAGACGTCTTACGAAAGCACACACCGATCACCGCCCGATAATGTATAAAGTCTATGATTATTGATCGCGCTAGCGTGTTTTATTTCTCCACCTTGTTTCAAACTGCTACTGCAAATTGTTTTGCCCTAAATATTACGAATTAAACTTCGTAAAAATCGTGTTAAATTTAAATTAACATTTATAATCGAGAGGCACTCCGCCCTTAGAAGGAAGCGCATTTGCGCTCAAGCGTGAAATTAAATACAGAAGATACACGAGACTCCGCATCCGTCCAACAGATCTCGTTATGTATCTCTAAATTTTCAGGGAATTAACGCATTTTTTAATATCACCTCAGTTTAATTTCACGTCTAGTCGTAATTTTCTCCGATTATATAATCTACTGAAAATTTTCCAAGTTCGATTTCAACAGAGATTTTTACCGATTTGAAAACATTTACATCACACAACTCGATCACGCTAAAAAAAATTCGAGGAAGAAGATACTGAGAGGAGCCACTTTTCATGGTAGAGAAAGCAAATAATTAAAGATCAATCAAAATCGTCAGAGAAAGAAGCCGATCGTTAAATGCAATTAAACTTCACTGCATAAAATCTCAAGAAGATCCCTCGAATTGTCAATTTAAGTCAATTCAAAATTTGAACGCAGGAATTTCCATTGCCAATCGAGGATTCCCTCGCCTAAGGAAAACGATTCAAACAGTAAGATCCACAAGTCACGAATCGAATGTTTGACACAGTTCCACTCGTTGAAGTGGCCCACTCCTCGCCACGACCAATCGTCATGGATCGCGTGATCGGCTTACATTTTTCTTTTTTTTTGAATACTCACCTTACAGATCTCCGTGCTGGCGTAATACTTTTCCGGTGGCGGCGGTATGGGCGGCGGATTAGACGAGTATTCTTGAACCGACGGAATTGGCCTGGCAAGATTGATCGCAGTGTTCAGCAACAGCGGAATAACCGGCTGCACCTCCGTCATCCCTGTGGTACAGCCGAGGGAAGGAAAAAAGAATTTTGACAAGGTTAGAGGCACGAAAGATATAAAAGATATTACACTTTCTTTCGAACACACTCACTTTCTTTCCTCTTTTTGTTCGAAAAGTAACATCGTTTTTGTCTCTGATTAATTTTGGAAATTTCTCACGATTAATCACAATTTATATTTGATTGAGTCTTCTGATAAAGCGGTTCTATAAAAATTTATTTCTTCGTTTATCCACATTTTACAATTAAGTAGAGAATCATTTTGGAAAGATAGTGGACGATAGTTCCAAGGAAAGAGATATATTAAATTTTATGAAATATCATTGAGACAAAATTCTAGAACGATAGATAAGACTTTCGAATCGCCCAGGTACTTTCGAACGAAATTAGCCGACGAGCGTTTCATTATACGCGCGGTTAATTAATTAATCGTTAGCTTCGTTCCAGGCGCACGGATCGAAGGAGATTTATTTTTTAATCTCTCTCTCGTTCTCGAGGGAATACGAATGAAATTTCATAGCATCCGCGGGCGGGGAAACGAAACAACTCGGTCAACTATTCGAGCGATTCCTGTCCGCTCGATGCGAATCATAATACTTTTCAAACTTCCGTTCACGATCAACACGAATTCTTTTTTCGCCTTCGATTATTATGCGCGAGAAATTCGCAAATACTTTCGGGGCCGAGAATCAGCAAGCGAGCAAATACGTCGAGGCGAATATGTCGGATTCGAATTGAAATACAGCGAGGGGCCAGCATCGTAAATCGACGCGCGCCACTTTATGATTCGTCGACTTCAAGTACCGCGAACTCTATAATATCACGTCGATCATTAGAACCGCAATTTAATTCGAACGGTAGGTGTTGCGCGTTTGTCGTTCGATGCCCATATATCCCATCCCCCCGATTTTATGTAATTTTAGTCAAAGGCAAACTCGATAATGCACCGCAACGCGGGGCCACTCGTTTCCAGTTTTCCCGCTATTGAATTACACGCCAACATACGTAGATGGAAGGGGAACGTTGCTAGGGTTATGAGTATTATTACGAACCAAAAAATAATTCCGTTGATATTTTTCTCGAGAGAGCGAAGCATTCGATTCGAAATTTTTAGGATCGATCTCGTCCTATTTTTCGATAAAAATAAATTTCGTGAAAAATGTATCCCTTTGCGCTCGAGGCCGAAAAAGATCGAGACGATTTTTATTCGGTGAATTTCTTCGACTTAAAATTTCACAAATTAATATCTTAGTTGGTCTGAATATTAAACTAAGAGCGAATTTTACAAACCTTTTTCACTCATTTGTTGTAACATAACGTTAATATTCACCGTCTATTATTCTCTTAGTTTATCGCTATCTTCATCACTGCTTTCCTTCCCTCTATCAGTGTCAATTTTTTTATGAGCAAAAGTAAAATTCGTCCAAAAACACATCTTCGCTCGAAACTATTCATTTCAAACTTTGAAAATAATAATTCCTATTGCCATTCCTACTCGAACCGAATGTCGAAGATGCATAACTTCACGTAACAAAATTTATCTATTTGACGCAAAGAAGGAATCTCAAGTTTAGAAATCTATACAAAGCGATGTTCTAAAAAAAAAAAAAAAAAAAAATACAAATAAATATCGTCGCAGTTCGAATCCAAATGACGAAGAGTGCGCCGTTTCGAGTGCAAAGGGATACACATATAATCTCTCGCATCTCGTTAAAAGAGAGGAGAATTTTCGAATTGAATCGACTGTCAAAAATTTGCAAAACGATGTATTCCAAAGCGCGCGGAACAGAATTAATCTACCGATCTCGCGCACCTGTACATTCCCTTCCCCCGAAACATCACCGATTTCCAATGCGAACGTATTTGCATCGACGAGAAGGTGTAACCGTCCGTATTCGAGTGGAACATTACGAAAATTTCGAAATTCGGGTCGGGGGGTTGGTAAACTTGGCGGGTTGATAATCGTCAAACTCCTCCCGAGTCGAGTTCGAATTAATTTAAATCGGCGTAACTGTGCATGCACGGGGGCTGAAATTCGAAAGGCTTAAGTGTCGCACTTAACGTCAACTACCAACCGCTGCTGTAATCCGTGATAGTTTTGTGTAGTTGCGGTGTCGTCGTGGCGTAGGCGGCCGGGTGGTACTGCGCCGGAAGCGGAGGGCAAATTGGTCCCTTGTCCTCGCCCTCCTCCTGCACCGAGACCTGCGGCCGAATATCGAGCGTTTCTCGTTAATGCACCTGACGTTTATGCACACATGCGCGCGCGCCCGTCACAGGAAACTTTCGCGCCACTCATCATGTGTGCCTCCCCTCCCTCGTCATTTCGAATATTCATGACCCATCGAGCCGTGCTTTCTGTTTTTTTTATATATATATATAATGCTTTTATAATAATAATGCGCGTATCTTGGATTTCGTTGCTATATGTATGACACGTCGATTAGATCATGTTATAAGATTGGAAGATTTGTCACTCTTATTCTTTTCAATTTTAATTTTGAGTTTTTCGAAATTTATTGCAGAGACGATAGAATTTTATTGTATACAAGAAGATTAAAGAAATGTATGGTTTTAATAAAAGTATTATTATTATTATTTAAAGTGGTGTATGGATTTCGTGATTAAACTTTGAGAATATTTGGCTGGTGAAATTATTCATAAACGTTTGGAATATAACGAGGTGATCGAAAACAGAGTCGTTCGGAGGGAATTTGCATTGAATTTTTTCCTTTTTTTCTTTTTTTTTTCTCTCCTTCCCTCCACCATTTTTTACATTCTCATTGCATATTTACACGCTAAACTGATACTTTCGCGTTATAATATAGCCAATGCATAATTCATTGGAAGCGTGGCAACGCTTCTTCTCTCCTCCTTTTTTCCCTCGCGCCTTTTATACTCCTCTATCACCCGCTTCGGTGTTTTTCGTGGAACACGGCTCGGCTCCGTCCAGATTAATGCGACCACTTTCCCCATCCGAAATTCAAAGCGAGGCAAAGGATCGAGCAGGAGGATGGAGCCATTAAAATTCGATCTCTCATCGCGGCGATGATCATTCATCGTCATCGACGAAAGAACCACGGAACCGCGGCGTGGCGTGGCGTTGCTAATAATTTCATACGACGTAATTATCGGCACAATGCATCGATACGCATTCAACGGGCCACGTAATTCCCGTGAATAAAATTTAACCATATCATCGGGTAATTATCAGTCATCGCTCTCCCCGAATGGTCGAGGAAATTCGATCAGAGGGGGGAGGGGTATCGCTTCGTTGGCCCATAATCAATCTTTTGAACGAATATTCGGTTTACAATTCAGGTGAACAATTAACGTTTTTGTTAAACGTAGGAAAGAGAGAGAGAGAGAGAGAGAGAAAAGGAACGATAAGAAGGGAAATTGTGGAATAATTTGGATTTACGATTCGTTCTGCTTGTTTTTGGATTTTTCAATTTCCGATTTCACCATCTATCAGAGTGAATCGTAGAATTTGGTAATCGATCTTATGAAAAAATTCGTAAACCGTAAGAATCGAGTCAAGATCGTCGAGGCAATTCGATGCCATTACGCGTGATCCTTAAAAATTTGTTAGTGATCTCTATGACGGATATTTGTTGCACTGAAACATGAAAAAAAAAAAAGGTGAAAAAAGAGAATTAAAATACACGATGCTTGAACTAGATACATACATACAGGCAAAAGAGATTTGCATATATTTTCATGCGAGGCAAATATTTTTATCACATTCTACACATTTTATCTAGAACCATTCTGTCCACCATTTTTTCCTTCTCAATTTTATCTTTCTTCTAAAAATAAATAATAAGCTCGTATAATCGGATAAACTACGATTAAAATCACACGCTTTGCTGCACTCTAAATTTTTACGCAAAAATTACGATTCACCCATTTATTCGATGAATAAAAATTTGTCTACAATCGCTGCTTCTCTTAACAACAACCCTTTCTTTTATTCCTCCGAACGAATCTTGTTACGGATCGTTGACTCGAGAGGAGAAGAGTAGAAGAAGAAGTAGAAGAAGCTCGGCCAACCCCAGGAAATTAATGCTTTCATTGTACGGCAAACAATCGTTGGCCAGAAGCATGTCGTGTCCCTTTCCCTTCGATATCACCGAGCCGATAAGCGGGATCACGTCGAGCGCCCATCACGATATATAATATCCATTGATTTTTGCTTCTCAAGTCCTTCAAGCCCTTTGCTCCTCACGGGACCTGGCGGAGAAGGAGGCGTCTGCCGGCTAAGGAGGGTGTTAATTCCGTTTAGGAAGCGTTAGGGTGGCAGAGAGACGCTCTCCGCGACGCAGCAGTTAAGATAAGATAGCCACTTAGCCATCGAGATTCTACTCGAATCTCTTTGCTCGATTCTCCTCTTCTATCCTCCCTTTCTTCTATCCTCCTCTCCTCGTCCCTTCCTCTTCTACACGGCACGAGAAAGGGGCGATCGAACGTATTTGGAAAATGTTCGAACAACATTTTTCGTTCTCGAGAGAAGAATCGAATTTGCCATCATTTTCTTAATGCGTAATTACGATCTCAAGAGAAAAAGTTCCATTCGAATATATTTAGAGAGATCTCTCCACCCAGCTCTCCCAATCCTCTCCTCTTCATCGCGACACCTCCTCTTCACATTCGAAGCGACGTCGAGACGTTCGTTCCCGGGATCCTGGATACCGTCGCTCGGCCGATTTCACGGCGGAAACAAGATGGACGGATACGCGAGCTACGATCCTTCGATCGAAGGAGAAGGGAGAGGTTGGTACGTTAATTTCGAGCGTGGCCGCTTGTTTGCTCGACGATACCATCGTTGGAACACCGGGTAATTGGCAACGTGGAAATCTTGGAGAGGAAAGGGGAGGAGGGGAGGCGTGAGAGGCGGCCCCACGATGATCGAGGCGAAGCTGGATGATTCGATACAACGATGATGGAAAAATTAATTACCGGGAAAGCAATCACAGCGCGGCATTTTCGACCGGTTCTTCGCTTAAGCGAAAAATAATCGGGCTCCGCCGGTTAATTGAAAATAGTAATTACAACGATAAACACCGTGGCGGTGGATGGTGGAAAGAACTTGGAAGTGTGGAGAGTATGGTGTTAATGTTTTCGCGCTTAAAAGGGTTGATGGGTTGATTCGTTTCGAAAGATCTTAAGGATATTGAAGCGGATATTGCGAGACTTCTCTGTCCATCGGCGCGGTTCGAGCAAATGTAAAGCATCGGGAGAGGAGGAGGAGTGATGAAGATGTAACACGTTGAAGTGTGAAAATGATTTTATATGATCGATAGAGAAGGATACATTTATCTTTGAAATTGATTTTTGAAATTTGAAGTGTTATCGTTTTATAAATGTGCACGTGAATTGTGGAATGTTTGGAGTGTATTAAAAAAAAAAAAAAAGAAAGGAGTGTCTCTATTTTTTGAAAAACGATTCCAATTATCGTAAAGAATTGTTCAGAGGGGCGTGGAGTGTAATTCGGAATATTCATGGATACGGAACGGTTAAAACAAAATCACTGAAAGCTCTTTTCATCGTTTTAAATCCACTTATAATTCTGAATAATGTAATTCCCCGATGCACAATGCTGAAAATTAACAACACATCGTCGAATGTTAAAAACAAAACACGATCCTTATACTTTATTATTCGCCCGAAACATTATTATAAACCAGATATATTTCATTAACAAAAACGCGCGGATTAACACTCGCAAAGAGGAAACGTAATGCGCGTAAATCGAAATAAAATTACAGAAAGAAGACGATTTCCATAAACGATAATATTATTATTCAAATTGTATTCCTAATAAAAGTAAAATAATCCAAATAAAATGAAACTTTTGTTATTATTATCATTTGTGTCTTTTCTTTTTTTTTTTTTTAATTATATTTTACACATCATAATGATCCTCCCTTATACTTTTAATTGTTTTTGTCTCAAATGAAATTAAATAAAAAAAAACAAATCAGAGAACACAGTACATTATCAATTTGTCAATTCGAAACATATAAAAACATGTAAAATTATTCCAAAATATACAAATTCTAAATTACGCAACGATCTTTCAAAAAAATGTATAAAAGTATAAAAAGAAAAAAGAAAACCATCTCTCACCCGTTGTACACGATCATCATCCCCGAAATACCGATTTCTTCCCCTAAATCACCCTGTTCGTCGTGGACAGGGCCATAATACCCTCCCCTCCCTTTCGGTCGACCACTGTTCGCAACGGTCGCGAGTATATCAATCGACCTCACAAAAAGACCCCTCTCGATTGATACGTCCCTCACCCTTTTCGATTGTGACCCGAAACACGTTTTCACCCGAAAATATCGTAGCCACTGGTCTAAAACGTCTTCCGGATACACCCTCAACGATACATCTCGACGAAATAACGATGTCGTGTCATGTATTTGATTATAAACGGTGTAAATGCTTCGCAAAATATTATTATCGTGTCTCTCGTTCCTTGGCGTATTAGTTTTTTATTAAGCGAGTGAATCGTTAATTAATATAACGCGTGATCTGTAGTGTGAAATTGATCGGATTGTTAAAATATTCTCTTTTATACAAGAAGAGAAGGAAGAGATAACGATTTTTTTTTTTTAAGACAAACATATTCGTTGGTTTCATTTTCAACACATAAAATAGTATTTAATATATGAAATATGTGGAAAAAACATTAGTTACTTTATTTTTGTACTATCCATTGTATTTCAATATAATCATGATCTTTAAGAGAAAATTTTCATAGACTGTTTCGTGATGATAAACGTAATAGCGGAGAAACAGAGAATAAGAAAGAAAAAAAAAATATAAATTACGTCAAATGATAGAGAAGAAATTGAAAGACAGGCATAAAATTGAATTACCAAGATTCTACTCTCCTTTCTGCTTTCCTTCTCGCAGGGGATTTGATCGTATCGTGCCGCGAAGAAGAAGAATCGAGGCGAATCCGAGAGTCAATTTATGCATTCGCGCGATAAATATGGCACGTTGTAATTAATTCCGGCTGATAAAAATTCGAATCGAGGCTTCGCCACTCGATGAAATCCCAGACTCGCAAAGGTGGATATTTCCACGAACGAAACGATCTTCTTTCATTAATTAGGGGCTGAGTGCTTTTTGCCATTTTCATTACATTTCCCGCCCTTATTTCGGCCAGATCCGCTCAACCTGTCGGATATCCG